GGGGTTGCGGGGGAGGGGGAGGCTCTGGGGAGTTTGGAGCGGAGCTGACCCCCTCCCCCCGGCATTGCAGAACCCGTCCCGGTTCCCTTCCTGAACATGCGGGAATCCACCAAGAACCAGCTGATCACCGCCGAGGGCATCCTACTCCTGTTCTGCGCCGTGGGGCCCGGAGTCTTCCTCCTCTTCAGGGTGAGCCCCTCGGCCCCGGGACTCCCAGACACTGACCGCTGGCCTGGGCCTGCCCCCCTGCCCTGGGGGAGCCTGCGTCAGGGGGGGGGCAGTGTGACCCCCCAAGCAGGCTAATGGGCAGGCTCACTTTGGGGTGGGGTGAACGCCACTCAGCCCCTGCCTCACGCCTGCCCCTCTTGGCTGTTGCAGAAGAGGTGGGAGAATGAGCGGCTGCTGCAGTCCAAGAAGAACGAGTATGAAGAGGAGAATCTGTATGAGGTGAGCTGGGGAGGGCACCGCAGGCGGGGTTGTGTCAGTGAGGTTATGGGAACGGGGAATCCTAGCCTTTGGCCCCCTCCCAGCACAGCCTGGATCCGCGCACGGAGAGGTCCTCCCAGTGCTGCAAAGTGCAGAGTGGGGTCACTTGGAGGCTGCCCTCGGGGGCGCTGGGCTGCAGGGAGCGGGGTGTGGGGCTCAGTGGGGGGCGCTGTCCCCTGGCAGTCCATGTTGGCCCCAATGCAGCACTAGGGGGTGCTGGGCTGCAGGGGGCCGCGTGGGGGTCTCAGCGGGGGCCCAGTCCCCTGGCTATCAGTGCCAGCCCCAATGCAGCCCTAGGGGGTCGCCCAGTGGTTCCGGACGCCCCACCACTGCTGTGTGAGGTGCTTTGGGTCTGTGTGGGGCAGGAGGGGCTGGGGAAGCATCTGTCACTGTGACTGGGACCCCGCCCGCCCCTCATGGCCCCTATGGGGTAGGTGCCGAGGGCTGAGCCCCTCCCTCGGCCTCCAGACGAGCAGCCCCCTCTGCTTTGCCGCACTAGGGCCTGAACCTGGACGAGTGCTCCATGTACGAGGACATCTCGCGGGGCCTGCAGACCACCTACCAGGACGTGGCCAACCTCCGCGTGCTCGACATGCAGCTGGAGAAGCCGTGAGGGGGGCACCGGCCGTGACCCGGGGCCTCTTGGTGCCAGCTGGGTCCCTGGGTCTGGTCTCTCCACGGCGGTTTGTTCCAGGGTGCTACGGGAGGCCTCTGCCACAAGCCTGCGTCACCCTGATTGTCACCCTGCTGGGAAG